AGGTGCTATATAAATAAAGTTTATTATTATTATTATTATTATTATTATTATTATTATCATTATTATTATCATTATTATCAACTGAAGTTCTGCACCAGCAGCAGTAATTTGAAGTATTTGGGTTTTTAATGGGTCTGGTGAACCTCTGGACTGGTGGTAAAAGTGTTGTTAGTCACAATATTTGTTCTTTAATGCAGTAAAAGTCAAACTAATCTGACCAAATGGACAACTAGTGTAGTTTGTATTCATGAATCTGTGCAAGGAAATGAAGATCAGTGATGGTGAATTAATCCCAACAAACTTCCTAAAGACACACCATCATGTCCAGACTGTCCCGTCCCTGGCTCACCTCTGAGTCCGGAGGAGCCCATGTAGCTGATCTGCTGTGTGTAGAGCTCCCTCTGCTGTTGGTTCAGAGGAAGTGTGTGTCCTCTGCTGTGGTAGGAGCTGCAGAAGCGGATCACCTGTTCATACGCTCCCTTCAGGAAGTAAACTGGAGTTTTATCCTGACAGAGAGGAGACGTGTCCATGAGTTAAACATAAACCATTAAACAGACACTGCTTTATTTGAACAGTTTTACTGTGGATCCTAACCTTTATCAGTCAGTTTAATCCATCCTTAGAGACTTTTGTTTTAATAAGTTTGTCATTAACTAAGCTTCTATAAAAGATTTTCTTCTGCAAACTAACTGAAACTGTCTCAGAGTACAGAGTACAGTGTAAAAACTTAAGCAGCATTTATAAAACTCATTTAGTCCATCTGGATGGAAGCTTCTCAGAGCTGCTTCCTGAAGGACCAGGACCTGATGATCTGCTGAGTCACATGTCTGATCAGATGACTACAGACCTGCTGAGTGCGATGAACACAACGAACAGCCATCCACTTCTGCTCCGACGAGAAGGGATGCTCCTCCAGACGCACGTACTCCTGCTGCACGCCCTCCAGACCCATCTGAGGAGTACAAACACATTTCTACTGGTTGAAATGAAACCATCAGCCAGAACCAGCTGGAGACATGAAACCAGTCTAAAGGTCAGAACTGGTCCAGAAGTCCAGAGGCAGTATGTTAAATGTGATCAGGTTCAGAGGAACATCCTGCTCCTACACAAACTCAGTCCATCATTGTAGAACCACAGATAAACTACAGCCTGGACCGAGACCGACAAGAAGGATCCACAGCTTTAACTTCCTGCTGCAGACCCAGAGGTCTCGTGGATCAGGGACTTAGATCTGTTAAAGGTAGCCAGTGGAGGGTCATGTGGGTACGACTCTCTCCCAGGTTCTGGACCATCAGAACTGAGAAGTAACAGCCTGAACCAAGAGGACCACCAGCACCTGTGAGGAAATGCTGGGTCATGTTTTGTACCTTCATGGCGAGGGCGATGAGCGCACCCTCAGTGGGACGTCCCAGCAGGTTGTGGTTCCTGATGAGCGAGTCGTTACACACACAGCCGACCTGACAGAACAGTTTGAATATTTAGTACATTTACTGTTGTCCCATATTCTACTCTACTACCCCATTATCCCGTACTGTACTATACCACCCTGATCTCCTGCACTATACTACCCCAATGTTCCGTACTATACTACCCCAATGTTCCGTACTATACTACCCCAATGTTCCGTACTATACTACCCCAATGTTCCATACTATAC